AGGCGCCATCATGGTCATTCTCCACTGCCTCCCTGTAATAAAGCCTATCACGCCTTCCTTTGAGCTCATCCATACTCTGCAGGACTAACTCTTTCTTTAATACTTTCCTCACATACTCATATAGCTCCCTTTTTTAAAGACATGCAAGAGCACAGCTGCCTTATCAGTATCTGTCTGCATATACAGTGTGCCTATCACGGTGTACAAGAATATGCTTAAGAAGTCTTTAACAACAAAAGAGTGTCAGCAGTGGTAAATGTAAGCTTAGGATGTGGCTTAATTCCTAGCTAAAGCCCGGTTCTGTCCAGATTTTCTTGTCTCTGCAAACAATTTTAAGAACTCAGATCATGAACTATCAATACTTAAATTTAAAAATTTACCTTTAGTTTGACCAGTACAATTAGAACCAAACAAATAATAACAACAAAAATTACAGTCAAATATGTAAGAAAGGAAATTCATTTTAAGAGACAGGTTCCTATCATTTTTTTTTCCTACAGGAGAAAAATATGTTTGGTTATTAAGCTCCTACAATGGATTTACTTACCTTGAATCTTGTGGTCACTTTTTCTACCAGGAGGAAGTGAACGTTTTCAGCATCTTTTAAGGCAATATCAACCCAGTGAGATAATTTCCCCTTTCCCGCTCCAAACTCAACAAAGCATCTTCTTGGACCAAGTAACTTTAATTTTTCAATGTTACCTAAAATAGAAGCCTGCAAACTCCACAGGATTATTTTATAAACTACAGCAAAGGAATCTGATTTAAATTCAAAAAAACTCCATGGGATTAATTTATAAACTATAGTAAAGGAATTCGACTCAAATGCAAAAACAACAAGGTAATCTCTACACAAGGCAGAATGCTTTCACTGACAATTTCTGAATGGCTAAAACATTTTTTTCATTTTATTTTAAAATAATATCTGTATTCAGGGTCATATCCATGCTGAAATTTTTACTTTATATTCACATATAATTTTGAATGAAAGTATTTTGTTCACTTAAAAAAATAAGTAATTATACTCAGAACAGAATGTTATTGCACTTTTTAAATTGGTTTTTTTCAAGACAAGGTTTCTCTCTGTAGCCCTGACTCACTTGTAGACTAGACAGGCCTTGAACTCAGATCTGCCTGTCTCTGTCTCCTGTGTGCTGGGATTAAAGGCATGTGCTACTACACCTAGCTAGAATGTTACCTTTAAAAATTACCTTTATTTATTGTGAGCATACACACAGGTGTATGCCTTTACAAGCCAGAGGACCATCTACAAGAATTGATTCTCTCCTGTCACCAGGTAGGTTCAGAGTACTGAACTCAGGTTATCAGACATGGTGAGCCATTTCATCAAACATACAAATGAAGGTTAAGTTATTGTGGTCTAAACATACCTGCTGTTTTAGGTGCTTGACTGCACAATCACCATTTTTAGGGTCATTAAGGGCATCATTTAATGATGGATGGGACATAATGTGATCTTCAAGTGTAGAATTCAAGCCTGTGCCAAAAAAAGAAAAACAAAAACCCCACAAACATGATAGCTTAAGCAGCCAAACATGAACTATGGGACTCTGAAGAACAAACAGAAGATATCAATTTATACACCACCTAGTCCTTCTCAAATAATTGAATTGCAACTTTAGGCAGACTTACCTTCACTTGCTTTTCTCAATTTCTTAATTAAGTTTTCCAACTGTTCTTCAGATAGAGAAGAAAATGGAACCTATACACAAAAACATGCCACAACAAAAATGAGTAGAAGCCTACCATTGTGCCGACCCTTGCCAGTTTAAGTCTTCTTCCTGACAAGACTTCGTTCCTAGGTAGCCATCGGAACTACCCAACTGTGAAGGCACCACTCAATCTCTTTAACTTCCCTCATTCCTTAAGGGTCCAGAAGTCTGGGCTCAGTTAGCTCACAACAGAGACATATTGCAGTTTGCTATGGGTCATAAGCTGGTCTGGGAACTAACAATCACTACCATCAATGGTTCTATAAGGAAATACACCCTAATGTCAAAACAACAGATCTTTCCAAACAAAAGTAAGGAATGGTCAATGTATAAGGAGATAGCTTATAAATACCACTTGGAGTTTAGTATTAAATAATATACTTACTAATTGTTCAGGATTTTCCATTTCATCCTTTAATCCTGCATTTATATCTTGAATAAAGAAATCCTTGACAAAACCAAAATCATAACATATTATTAATATGACATTCACAACAATTAAGCTGAAGAACTGTTTCATCCCTTCATCCTACCACACCACCACCCTTTTCTCAATCACCAAATGTTACTCCACCAATACCATGGTGACTGGTTTGCTCGAATTACCATAGTAAACAACAGAAGAGACAAATCTCTCTCTACCTTCATGGATCTTCTAGTGAGGGAGTTGTATAAAGAAGCATTTACAGTCTTAAAATTTTACCTGTTTAGAGGTTAGACTGAGTATTGTGCTAATGTTGCATTATGGCATTAAAATAAAAATAAGATTTTCTATATTTATAAACATTTACATTTTTATATTTATATACAAACACACACACTGCTCACTGAGGATGCAGCCTGACCCCAAACAGACAAAACATAGCTATTCTAATGGCGTAAGTCTGATTTATTTTAAAATATTAAGTATCGAAAGTAAAACTATCCTTTGACATTTTAACTAATATAATGAGATTTTATTAGTTCACTGGCAAGTACAGAAATTTTAGGTGAAGATCAAGTCAACACTGTCCAGTAGAACAACTTTCTGCAATGATGGAAATGTTCTACATCTTCCCTGACTGACAAGGTAGCCACTAGCTGTAAAATAATGGCTACTGGGGCTAAGAATTGCATTTAAATTTTATAAATTTTTAATTAACCCAAATTCCAGTAGTCACGTGTAGTTAGTGGCTACCCTACAGGATGGTACACACATACAGAGGCATGAAATAATATGATGTCTATAAATATTGATTTAATGCATCTCTTATGGACACTGTATTCCTAACAGTTATAGATTTTGTTAAAACAGATGGTAGAGGTGCTAACATCTTGATTGTATGAGGAAACTTTTTTTTTTTTTTTTTTTTTAAGGCAGTTTCTCTGTGTAGTCCTGGCTGTCCTGGAACTTACTCTATAAACCGGGCTGTCCTCAAACTCAGTGATCTTCCTGCCTCTGCCTCTGGGATTAAAGGAGTGCTCTATCATGCCCAGCTATGGAAGGAAGTATTTACTGATATGTTTAACAAGGGACATTGTTAACTGAGTGTAAGAGGTGAAGCTGCAGTTATCACAATGTTTTGTTCAGGGACTGATAAAAATATAATTGAAAATTAGCTCCAAGTATTAGCTCTTTGTTGAACTCTTACCTTAAAAGTGTTCTAAGAAGTACTCAGGGTAAGCTGTATTGTAGATTGGATTTTTTTTTTTTTAATTTGTTTTTTTTTTTTTTTGAGACTCTTTTTTTTTGGGTCTCTCTATGTAGCTCTGACTAGGCTGGAATTTGCTAAATTTGTTTTTTTTTTTTTTTGAGACTTTTTTTTTGGGTCTCTCTATGTAGCTCTGACTAGGCTGGAATTTGCTACGTAGACCAGGTTGATTGGAAACTCACAGAGATCCTCTTCCTTCTGCCTCCTGAGTGGTGGGATTATAAGCCTGTGCCACCATACTTAGGTTCAGATTGGATTTTTATTTTTTATCATTATTTTTTAAGATTTTATATATTTATTATGTATACAGTCGTCTGCCTACACACCAGAGGGCACAAGATCTTATTCAAGCTGGTTGTGAACCACTATGTGGTTGCCGTGAATTAAACTCAGGACCTCTGGAAGAACAGTCAGTGCTCTTAACCGCTGAGCCATCTCTCCAACCCCAGATTGGATTTTTATAAGTAAAAATTATCTGTACTAATTTATCACAAAAATAACTTTTATTTGGTAAACAAAAATTTTATAAGTAAATGAAGAACTTGCTAAACTCAAGCAAAACAATGATAAGACCCCCCACACACAGGTTTTCACATTATCCAGAGTGTACCAGATACAAACACTGCTCTGGTTCTTGCCCCATGCCGTCACCCCACTGCTTTTCTCCTCTTTTTGCCACCATGTCGTCACACACACTGGAATCTTGGGAATTACGGCATTTTTAGTAAATTGATTAGTAAATAGATCTCTTCTCAAAGTTTTTCCAGAACAAATACCCCATCCACTTGAAACTTGACCCATAGGGTGAGGAAGGTACTTGAAGTACCTTCTCACAGAACTTAAAGGCTGCTTGTGGTGAAAGCACCAGCCCTTCACACGGGTCTACCAGATGTCTGATGGGAAACTGATCCAGGATAAAGGCTTGATGTCTCTGCTGTCTACTGCTCTGGCTGTGCTACTTTAAACTTTGGAAAGATCCCTACTAAACTCTGTTAGTCGTTTCAGGTTTCTCTATCTAAAAACTGGTAATGTAAGGTTGCTTTACCTCATCTCTTTATTCCCCTCCAAGAATGAAGATACTAAGATAAAGTAAGCTACATTAGGGATCCCAGGAACAGGGAGTCTTGGAGGCAGGTTACTCTAAGGTAGTAAAGGAGGCTATCTCAAAAGGGAGCCTTATCTCATGGGGCCTCGGCTGGAGCCAGAACAATAGCACCAATGGCACTGCCTACCTGAGGCATAAGATGTTCTCTGAGCCAGCAGGACCCCACAGAACCAGACCTTAGGGAATGGTCAGTCAGCCCTGTCTGAGACCACTTCTTGTGGCTTCTGTTACTTTTCTCCTATGTAATCAGCATTATCAGTACAAAACACAAGGCAGGATGGTAACCTCCTGGCT